TTTCCCGCTGCTGCTGTGTAGTGTGTGTGTGTGTGTGTGTGTGTGTGTGTGTGTGTGTGTGGCTGCCGTGTTAGTGGGGTCTCGTCCAACTCTGTGGCAGATGGCAGGCTCAAGTGAATGCAATGCAAGGGAGGGGGGAGGTGTGTGTGTGTGTGTGTGTGTGTGTGTGTGGTAGGGGGTTTCAGGCTTCTTACCTCAGCAGATGCTGGTTTAACGAGAAAGAGAGGGGCTTGTACACTGACAGCACCAGTGGGAATATACAGCGGGGTGGACAAAATAATAGAAACACCACAGCATAGAATGCAGTGAAATCCAACTACAGGCTGAAAAATTAGCATGAAGTTAAATCAACAATCAAGAGTGACAATCGCATGCTTAAAACTAGATGGGCCAGTGGAAAGATAAAAATTGAATAATGGATAGAATATTTTATCCGATGGTGTGACAGACAAAGACATCTAGAGAGCAGGGAAAGGGTTTTATGGAGGCTACTGTTTTTTCCAGGATAGTCTGGTGATCTGATCGCTTCAGAATGAGTGAACAAAGGAACTGGCTCAGGACAGATTTCACATGATGGGGTTTAAATTTGTAGTCTGATCTTCTTTGTTTTATTGATAAAATAATTGAGGGACTCTTCATTTTCTGTGGCAAACTTTGGAGGCAAAGCATTAAGCTTATCTTTTCTCAAAATTCTTTCTTCTTTCCTGCACTGTCTTTTAATGTGATCATTAAAGTAGTAAAACCGAACGTGTGTCTACCTGAAATGATAGTAATGGAGTAGGAGGAGCTATGTTGAGCGCCACTGGTTTTGGAAGTAAATGTCAATATGAGGTGACTGGCATGCTTACAACTGCATGAAACTCCTCTGGTTGAAACATTGGTACCAAATATGAAAAATTGCGTTTAAAGATTCCTGGGTCTTTGATAAAAAGTCAAAGAACTTAAGATAAGAAATGCACTATGATTCCCATGGTGTAATTCTATAACAAACAGCCAATTACAAAGCTCAATAATTACTTAAGTTACATGCACCACTAACAGCAGATACAAGCTAAATATTACTCTGTTGTGAAAGCTGACAATACAATCTGCAACCTAAATGAATTCACTTTAGGATTTTGGATCAGACTGGGTCAACTGCAACAAAAAATCATTTCGATTTGGTACGGCTGAGGCTCAAGAGTATTGTAGTATTTGCCACTTTGCAACTCTATAGTCCCTCATTGCACAGGAACTTGTGTGTACACAACTTTAGATGTATAATAATAATTGAATTCAGAAGTTGTTCTGTAAGCTGTGATGAATGGATAGTTTGGGGAATCATTTTACTGTTAGTTTTCTCTTCAAAATACATTTGGGCGTTTTGTTTACAACCTCGTGTTTCTTGCCTCATCAGACTTGATTTCAGCCATGTTGGCCAATGTTAGATATAATAAACAAGAATTATCTTTTAAGAAGGTTTTAATGCTTTTGTGTCTCGTGTGTGATTGCAGTGAAAATGATTTTTACAATCTCTTGCCACGTCTGTGCTAAAGCACGCTGGAAATCTTCCACAAATACAAACAATACAGGCTTTAAAATGTTTAGAGTGTAAAAATAAATGAATATAGGGTATAGAGTCTGAAAAACATCAAGCAGTAGCAGTCAGCGCTCCCTCTGCCAAAGCACCTCTCTCTCTCTCTCT